AGATGAGGAAGTCAATGACATACACCTTTTATATCTTCCCCATCAAGGTTAAGACCACTTTTGTAAGTAAAGCCTTGTAGTACAGGCCTACAACCACAACTATTCCAAAGGCAGAGACAGGGAGATCACAAGTTCAAGGCACACCTATGCTACAGACTACATCAAGACTTTCTTAGGTAACTCAGGGAGACCCTGTTGCAAAACTTAAAAGTAAACAAGACAGTGGGGGTGTAACTCAGTGGCAGAGCATATGCCTAACATGCAGAGGGCCCTAGGTTCCATACTTAGCACCAGAAGGGAAGCAACTGGTTTTATTACTAGCAGTACTTTTTTAGATTTGTCTTATTATTTTATGTGTATATGAGTGTTTTGCCTGTGTGTACATTCATGCATCACACCCACATCTGGTGCCTGTAGAGTCAAAAGAGAGTGCTGGATCCCCAGGAGCTGCAATTACAGACTGTTGTGGGTCACCATGCAGGTGCTAAGAATTGAACCTGGGTCCTCTGCAAGAACAAGTACTCTTAACTGCTGAGCCATCCCTCCAGTCCTGAAAGGCTTTCTTTGTAATTAGATTTTGTTGCAAAATTCTGTTTAAAAACTTTATTAAAGTTTCTTGTGATATGACTTTACTTTTATTTTCTGATGAAAGACGCCACAGACCCAAACACTCTCTCCAGCACATGTTGGAGTGCATCTGTTTGCCTCATAGGATCATGGGTGGAATGACAATGCACAGGCCTTGAGGGGAGCCACTCTGGACTCCTATCCTGCTCATCCACCAAGAGGAAAGAGTGGATGTCTTCATCCCCAGCAACCACAGGAGACCAGACAGCAAGTGTGAGTAAGTTGTCCAAGGTTATTCAACCAAGCAGTGGTCATCAAACAACATTCTGCTCACTAAACCCAGAGGGAAAGACACCCCAACAGGTGGTCCCAGCTCATCCACAGACCACAGAATTCACTGCTCCAATTTGACAGTTTCATTTCATGGAAGTGATCAGCAAACCACTTGCCCTGAGCCAAGTTTAGCCCTCTCTTGCATCAATAAAGCTTCAATAGCACACATCCAGGCCCACATACATGCACATATGCACATTTGTGGCTTATGGTGTGTGTGTGGTTGGTGGTGTGTGTGGCTTATGGGTATGTTTATATGATTTATGGTGTGTATGTATGAGTGTGTACATATATGGGTGTGTGAAATTTATGGGTGTGTTTTATAAATTAGTGGTGTGTGTAGTTTATGATATGTGTGTGTGTATATATATATATATATGTGAGGTTTATGGATGTGCTTGTATGGTTTACTTGTGTATGTATATTCATATGGTTTACAGTATATGGTTTGGAGTGTATGTATATTGTGTGTTTTTGTGGTTTACAGTTCCTTCTCAGGTGTATGTTGGAAGGGGGGCATGATTGCTTTCAGAATGTATATATGTATATATTTATATTTGTGTAATTCATAAGGTGTGGGGATATGGATGGTATGTGTGTGTTTGTGTGATTTATGGTTGCTCCCAAGGTGTGTGTGTGTGTGTGTGTGTGTGTGTGTGTGTGTGTGTGGTTTATGGTTGCTTCCAAGGTGTGTGTGTGTGGCGGGCGGTGTTTGTAGTTTATGGCTGGTCTAGTATGCAACTTCAGAGCTTACAGGTGTGTCACATACCTTCTGGCCTGAAAAGTCCCAAATTATTATTATCTGATCCTTCATGGAAATAAATATATATTGGTCAACTTCTAATTTAAAGAATGGTCTACTGTCTGAGTTTTGCTCTATTCTTCAAGTATTAGAATCCTCAACTAGCTCCTGATTCTGTTTGAATTATTTCACTTGACAAGGAAATTTTGGTAAAAATGGTTGCCAATGTTCTACAAAGAAAAAACTCAATGGTTGTATTTATGGTTCAAGTTAGAACACTGTTGCAATGGGTGCAGTGTGGTATAGAATAGTTGCAGTTCTTGGAAAGAGCATTGTCACAAACACAGAGCAAAGTGTGTGGGTGAAATGCAATGTGTTTCGCTCTGGAAGAAGTCTTTCATTCAAGGTTGAGCAGGCACCACTCCCTCCAGCATTCGTATTTGAAGAGTCTATCTATATTCCACCAGCCGAGCTAATCCTATTTTCACCAAAGATCCAGACATCATTTATTGGCACCTTGCTTTTCTCATAAATAGAAGCATGCCCTCTCTCAAGTTCCTTCACTGATACCTCTTGAAAACTAAACATCTGAAAAGAAATGTGGTCTCCTGAACACTGATGTATTTTACACAAGGGTATTTTGAAACTAAATGCATACTACAATAACTTACAGCATATTCAGAATTGAAATCCAGCCTTCCAACACCTCCTGCAAATGTCTGATCATTTGTGACACTTTCATCTCATTTTTTAAAAGCTTTTACTATGGAAATTTTCAAATATGCAAAAATGAAAGGATAGTCCCCAGCCACTAGCTTCTACGAGTAGCAGCATTCTGCTATTTTTCCAGTGGATCCCTCCCCCCAGCGTTTTGTTTGCTATTTGTTAGAGCGTTTGAAAGCTGATTTCACACACCAAGTCATTTCACTCATGAATGCTTATTTCTGTTAGGGCTCTTCCTTTGAAGAAAAACATGATACCATTATCACCACCAAAATAATAAATAACAACTCTAAATGTTATCTAATATTCAATCTCACTTCGATGCCTTTTCTTTTCATAATGGTTCTGTTCAAGCAAGGATCCAAATATGACCACATACTGTGTGTTCTTGATTAGTCTCTTAGTTCTCTTTATATATGCTATAGAGCCCTCTCATTTCTCATTTATCCATCCCTGGTATATATTTAAATGCTAAGTGGACGAACAGATCTTATCAACGGTGACACCTCTTCAGCCTCTGCACACTGTAAGCAAACCTCGACATTCACAGGCCTTTGAATCCCTTGGGCAGGCTCTTAACTGCCCTACCTCCTATCTGCAACCCCACCTGAAATCCAGAGTGCAGATCACCTCCCTCACTCATGCTCTCAGGAGAATTCAGATTGCTTCAACAAGCCAGTCCCAGAAAATCACATCTTTTCTGTGCTGCTCTGGCCTGGAGACTCCGAATGATTTAAAAGCAAGGCACCCACTCATCAGGCCTTCCTTTTGAGATTAGCCAAACTTAATCAAGGATTACAAAGTAGATCAGACATGCCTCAGAATCCATTACTGTTATCAGTAACAATATGAATTTGCACCTAGACCATTCAGGGCATGAGGTTATAAAAAGAATGACCAGAGTCCCTGCTCACAGGAACCTGACCTAAACCAAGAAGCAGCAAATCATTTTCAGTGGTTCTCAACCTGTGGGTTGGTTTGGGGGTCACATAACAGATACGGTGCATGTCAGATATTTACATTCTGATTCCCAACAGCAGCAAAATTACAGTTATGAAGTAGCAACCAAATTAATTGTATGGTTGGGGTCACCACAGCATGAGGAACTGTACTAAAGGGTCACAGCATTAGGAAGGTTGAGAACCGCTGGTTAAGATAAACTGCCCAAGGAGACAACAGATAAAGGAGCACCCAAACTGACTGCCATGCCCCAACTCCTGGGTGAAGAGTATTTGCAAGGTCAATCCACACAGTGACACAGGAGGCAGAATGAACCGAATCTGTCCTCTTCACCGTCTGTGCTACACGCTGAAGCCCAGTCTTTTCGTAAGGCAGGCTAATCCCACTTACTTCCCAGAGCAGCGGCCAGTATTTATTGAGTCCTGATCGTGCACCAGGGTTCGTGACACCTCCTTCAGTGGTTCAATCTTCACAAAGCCCCTCCCTGGCAGCCCTGGCCAGCCTGGACCTCACTATGTAGAGCAGGCTGGCCTTGAATCCATACCATAAAAGAACTATGAGGTGGCCGGGTGGTGGTGGCGCACGCCTTTAATCCCAGCACTCGGGAGGCAGAGCCAGGCGGATCTCTGTGAGTTCGAGGCCAGCCTGGGCTATCAAGTGAGTCCCAGGAAAGGCGCAAAGCTACACAGAGAAACCCTGTCTCGAAAACTATGAGGTGGGCTGCTACTATTTTCATTTTGCAGATGAAATGACCAATGATGCTCTAAGTGGTATGGTGACCTGCCCCAGATCATACTAGAACTAAAATAACCCAGGACTTCACCTGAGGGCTATCTGACACAAGAGCTAGGCTTCCTCACCACTGATTTTTATTTTTTCTTCAAGTGTCATTCTACATTAATAAAGTTGACACCTCCTGGGGAAGAGATAAAGTGTGCTCAACACTGCATGGTCTACCCAAAACTTTCAGTCAACATCAACTGTCATCACTAGGGATGTGAAAGTAGGAAGGGAAGAGACCAGGACAAGTAACCAGGAAGCCCCAGTTGACTTTGGCTACTTTAGGGATTTGTGCTGGCATACACCAGCAAGCCTCCCTGGGTTTGGTATTTTTCCAATATATCTCTGCTCCCCTCTGGTCTGGGAGGGAGATCCGGTAAACAGTGGCTGTTTCTAGTTCAACTTTGTTAATTCAGAAACCCACCAAATGGCCTGGGCAGGAAGAGGTAGGCACTGAAAAATGTGTTGACTAGAAAAGTCAAAGCTTCATTCATTCACTAACCACAAGTTCGAACTCGCACTTCGAAGGAGGTATCTCAGCTACTTACTGTCCCTTAAAACAATTCCAGAGAAAAAGAGCAGGCTAGAAGGGTTAAGTGGAAGAGACCCACTACGAGGCAAGCCGGGGGCTCCAAGGGGCTCCCACTCCTGAACTACTCAGGAGGACTGTCCCAGATTGGGACTTGCTTTACTTTTCATCGCTCCCAGAGCAGCTAAAGGAGAAACTGACAGGAAGTCAAAGTTTCCAACAGACCGAAGTCCTGGCCCGGGAAGGACCTGAGGAAATGGGCTCGAGGTGGAAGGCTCGACTCGAGGCTCCCGCCCCGTCTAAGTGCACCCTATAGTCCTCCGAGAGAGACCCGAGGAGGGGCGGGGCGCCCCAACAGTTACTTACAGTCATGTAAGTCATCCTGCAAGTCCACAAAGTACAGAGGGATCTCTGAAAAATCAAGACACACAGGAGTCCCGCGGGGCTGCGCGGGCGGCGAGTCCCGGGCTCGCGGGGCGGGGAGGCTGCCGGGGAGGGGGAGGGGAGCCGCTCCGAGACCCCGGAGCCTGGACCCACTCACCCGCCATCTTGGGATGGGCTGGAGGGCGGGGCTGGAGGCGGGGCGAGACCAAGGGTCCCGCCCATCTTCCGCGCTCCGCCCACCCCCCTGGACCGACTCACCCGCCATCTTGGGATGGGTGGAGGTGGAGCTAGGGGCGTGGTGATGCCAAGATTACGTCCCACCCCGTCCCGCCCCCTCAGCGGAGACGGGGCTGAAGCTGGAGGGTGGGGCGACGCTGAGGCTCCGCCCCTCCGAGCTCCGCCCACTCGCCTGCCAGCCGCGAGCCGGCTGCCCCGCCCTCGCGGCGAAGGTGGCTGCCGAAGTGGGCGGGGAGGTCAGGTGACCCTGCCGGCGTCCCAAGATGGCGACGGCGGTGGCGCCCAGGAGGCCAAGGCAGCGTCCGGGCTGTTGAGGTGACTCCGCGGGGCAAGCGACGGGTCGGCCGGACCGAAGGGCGGCGGCGGACGCACGGCCGCCTCGCGTGCGCAGCCGGGGCTGGGCGGTGCCGCAGCGGCACCGGGGGATGCTGGTGCTGGGCCGGGCCTCTCACTCCTCAACTTAGGGCGGCGGCGGGCCCGCACCCCTGGTTCCCGGGCCATGGCGCTGAGGGAACTCAAAGTGTGCCTGTTGGGGGTGAGTGGCAGCGGGCCGGGCCCCGAGGGTGGCGGAGGCCAGGTGGGCGGGTCCCGGCATCCCAGGGCCCCTTTCACCCCTTCCCGCCCTGTGCGGGACGCCGCCCCCCCGCAGACCCTTGGGGCGTCCGGGCCATCAGGCTGTGCCCCACCCAAGGCCCCGAAGTATCGGGATGGTCCCCGGGCCCCAGAAAAGTGTTCTCTTCCCACCCCACAGTGAAGCAGCCCGCAGGTAGTTTCCTTCCAACTTTGCGAGGGACACCTTTGAAGTTGGCCACGTCTCTCAAAGTTAACTCCTAGTGGGGCTTTAGGTTTTTATGAGCGCCCTTAGCCTCCTTTCAGCAGTTGTGGGATAATTTTGAACTTTTGGGACGTCTCTGACACTTCTGCAAGAGTTACTTTCCAAAGTTTACTCTTCTAGTGCAGAAGGGAGGAGTTCATACCAGGAAGCCTCCAGAACTTCGAAGTTTCAGCTTCCGGTCCTCTCTTGGTAGTTTGGCCATTTCCAAGCCTTCTGATGGTCTCCTTCCTGAGTTTCTGTTTTAATGACTGACTGAAAAGAATTCCAATAAGTAGACGGGTTTTGCCCCTCCACTAGGGTGGGGCTAGGATTCATCCGGGATTACTCAGGCCTAACTTGGAAACACATAGTTTACTGGTATATGTTAAAAGGCCAGTGAGATCGTAGCTTTCCACACGAAGCAGGAACTTGGGGTCTTCTTTGTGCAGGGAGGAGGGCCATCCTAGTGACTGAACCTGAAACTTTGTACGGCTAGTCGAGCACTGTACCACTGAGCCATGTGTGTCCCCAGCTTGCTTGTTCTATTTTGTAGCAGGATCTCAAGACTATCCTTCAAGTCTGCGTAGCCTCAGCAAGCCATGAACTTGGAACCCTCCTGCCTCAACCTCCCAGATTTGCTAGGGTTGCAGGCCTGTTCCACTAGGCAGGCCAGCTTGGGTCTTTCAAGAAGGTCTAGTGTTTCTTAATCTTAAAAACTACAAAATCCTCCCCAGTACTTTTTATTTTTATGACAGTTTCTCACTGTGTGGCTATGACTGGCCAGGAATTCACTTTGTAGGCTAAGAGGTATGCCTTCGTATCACAGAGATCTGCTGCCTCTGCCTCCCCAGTGATGAGATTAAAAGCATACACTCCTGGGCCTGGCCTCAGTAATACATTTTGAAATAAAATTACTTCACTGACTTATTATAAAAGCCTGCTTTGTGTCCCTCTACTTATAAAATCAACAGATGAGGGTGCTTTTTCTAAAATTCGCCCACTTTATGCCACAAAGTGGTTTTGGGAGTCGGAAAATAGCTTAAATTTTCTTCCATCACCCATCTTACTCTCTTTCAGGATACGGGTGTGGGTAAATCGAGCATAGTATGGCGGTTCGTGGAGGACAGTTTTGATCCGAATATCAATCCAACCATAGGGTAAGAGAACAAGTTTATTTAATATACATTTCAGAGTGCATGGAAAGTCATTTCAAACAAAAATGTGTTACTGGTGTAACTCCTGTCGTCTTGAGCTCAGTGAAATTTTGAGTTGCTGGTTCTCCACATTTCCAAAATGACTTGAGAGAATACAGTGATGTTTGCTGTGTCTTAAGAGAATTATCTTCAGACTTGGGAAATAAGAACTTCGAAATAGAAAAAGGAATCAGAGTGGACATAGGAGTTCACAGGCCAAATTACACCTTGCAAGAGGGTAAAGGGAAACACAGCCTGATACAGTTCTTTGGGGTATATCAATTAAAACGTAGAGAGTGTTAGTCCTTGAAAAGCGATAGAATCGGGTCCAAACCCTCGCGAACGTTGTAACACTGGTGACAGTAAGGGAAAAAATCAGTGAACTTCCAAATGTTAGGGTTTGTTTGTTTTTTGCTTTTTTTCGGGTCTCTGGTGTTTTTGATCATTAAAGTTGATTGTCTAAAGAGATTTCGAAGGTTTCATTATTTTTCATTAGGTGTGTGTGAGTGTAGATATGTAAACGTGACTGCAGTGCCCACCTTGAAGGCCAGAAGAATCTGTTCCCCCTGGAAGTGGTTGTGAACTGCCTGCTGTGGGTACTGGGAACCAGACTCAGGTCCTCTGGGAGAGCACTGCATTTTTACTACTGAGCCATCTCCCCCAACTTCATACAGAGTTAACAAAAATCTTTTCTATTTAAGTGTCATGGGGGTGATTGTGGGATTAACACTAATTTTTCTATGTGAGAACTTGAGCTGTGTAGACTCTACTACGTTAAGCTTGTACAACTGAATAATGATTATACACTATTCTGAAACTCCTGTCTGTCAACTGGTTTCCTGTCTTTAAAGAAAAGTTGTGTGTGGTCCATCATCAGGATGTGAGATGGCTTTGTGCTCCTGTAGAGACCATTCTCTGCCTCATAGGAAAATACTTGACAGCTGTGAGGGAAACTTCCCTAAGACTGCCACTTGAGAATTTGTTAAAAAATCTCTCTGTTTCTTGCAAATTTGAGGGCATGCAGATGAAATCCACCACTATGTCTGCAGTTGAGATAGTATCCTTCCAGAATTGGGTGTATCCACATGTTAAAAGTGTCACTTCCCGCTCCTTGGGGCCTGTTGGTACCTGCATTGCCAAGTGAAGTGAGGGCCGGTGACAAGAAGTGCTGATGAGTCAGTGGGTGACATACTTCATTCACACTGAGTCAGAGCTGAGAACCCAAACCCACTAATGTTAAACACCATCTCCTTTACTCTCCGATGGGTGGAGAGAAGTGAGTGCCGTGCCTTGACTCAGTCAGGCTCCCACTGTGTCACAGGCTCTTGTCTTGGCTCATATTTTACAGGAAATACTACAAAGCCCCCTCCTCCTTTATCCTTGGTACCTTGTTTCTGCCTCTAACTTCCTATCCCTCATGACTAATACTCCAATGATGCATGTACCTACTGGAGTTCTGGGTTCCCAGCTTTTCATCACTTTCTCCCCTATCCTGCTGACTTCAGCAGCATCACCACCACCACCCATCTTGCTGCTTTAAGCTGGAAGAGAACTTACCCCTTTGTCAGCTGTTAAACTGTTACTCTGTGTAGCCTATTGTCAACACAGTTCTACTCACCATGTCACTAAATCCACCTCTGGGTACTAGTCACTGTGGGAGCCACTGCAAACCCAATGGGTATTTTTCAAAAAGTTTTACTTATTTGTTGGGTACCAACCATCAGGTGTTCAGGTGTATCAGGTATTCTGGTTGCTGGTGATTTAAATCTGGCATCAGCACACTGTAGCCTTGTGCTCTGCCTTCTTACTTTGTAAATAAAGCATTACTGAAGCAGTCACACCTGTCTCTGCTGTTTCCGGGCTGTCCTGACCCAAGGCAGGAGTCCTGTAGCACACAAAGCCAGGATTTGCTACCTGGGACTCTGGCACTTTATTTTTGCAACAGGCAAAAATATTTAGGCTCAGGCAGGACTAAAAGTATGTAGCCTAGGCTAACTCAGTCTCCTGAGTGCTGGGATGAGCCATCATATGTCTACCTGGCACTTTTCAGAATACGTTTACTGAACCCTGATTTGGACACTGTTTATATCATTATGTAGCTTCCCTGTGGATTAAGAGAGAGGTATGTTCTATAACTTTTGTGCAGAAAACGACTCTTCAGCATGTCTCTGTGATGTCAGCACACAGCAGGCCTGACCATCCTGGGGATGCTTGATGCCTGCAGGTCCCATGGAAAATGTGAAGCACTTAGAAATGCTGACATTGAAATACTGAAGGATGAGTGGATTATACTTTGTAGGAAGTTAAGAAAGTATATATGTGAAAAGAAGTATGTCAGTTGGTAGTAATGAGAGGCGTTAAGAAGTAACCTGAACACAGGGAGAGTGAAAGACCAACCAGGTAAAGGAGGGGTCCAAATGGAGCGAAGACAGAGAGTAAGACCAGGAAGAGTGGCCAGCGAGACTGTTGAGACAACAAGGACCAGGCAAGGAGCCTTAAAGATGAGGAGGGAGCTAACATGACAGCTACAAACCAGGTGTGATGGAGTGGGGCCCTTTTGTCTTTGGTTCCCTCCCTCCACCTATGGCTGCCTCCTTCACTAGTACTGTATGACCTCTCCTTCTGTTGAAGTAAGTGTTGGGCTTTTTCAAATGCTCCCAAACACTTTTTCACCTTTGGTCATGTGTAGCAGGAATCTTAAAAGTTCTTATTAATAAAATCAAACCCAAGGCCAGTTATTGGGGTCAATGTTGGTAGATCAGAGAGACAGAACAAGCCACAGCTATCTCACCTGGCCAATTTCTCAGCTGGTCCTGTCTCCTCAGACTGGAAGCTTCTGTGTCCTCATCC